GGCGCAGCGTTCCCAGGGCGCGATTCGGGCGGGGGGAGCCGCTCGCCGCAAGCTCGTTCCCGGGGCTGGTTTGTTTTCCAGGTCGCACTGCTGGACATTGACATCTGCGGGCCGTCCATCCCGAAAATGATGGGTCTGGAAGGGGAGCAGGTGAGGGAAAGTTTGAACGTGTTGTTTAAAGGATTTCTGCGCAGTCTTTCATTAACATTTTAGGGTTTTGTAGACTTAAAGCTTCCAGAAGGAACGTTTGTCAGGAACCGTGTGGCACTGCATAGCGAAATAAAGACGATGAGGTGGAGGAGTTCTGCGTAATTTAATTTAGTTGTCTGCTTTTGGGGTGACCAGTTCTGCAAACCAACTTCTGCGGCGTATCAGCCACGTATTCATGACTTATGAAAGCTTAAGCAACGTTAACGTGATTCTCGTTATCAGCCCTCAGATATTTTATATAAGCATGGAAAGTTATGGGCAAATTTCTTGCAAAGGGATTGAACAGTTGTTACTCACTGAGTAATGGAGGTCTGGCCCTTCTGCAGTCTTTAACTCGGCTGCCTCAGTAAGGCAGTATTGTACCTGTAGGCAGGATATCTCTCTACCTGGTTTTGACTTATGTTCATGTTTTATGTAACATCTGCATTTATTTCCAGTGTAATTTTATGTATCACTTCAATTTTCAGGTTCATCAGAGCGGATCTGGATGGTCTCCAGTGGTAAGCTGGTGTTATTGTTTCAGAAAGTTTGTTGGGTTTGTTTGGGTTGGGCACTGTCTTCTAAAGTGAAAAATGAGTGAGGGAGGAGCAGGAGGTGCTTCTACCAGTTCTTTTTCTGATGACATAAATATCCAGATTCTATCTGGATATAGATTGTATCTAGAATCTGGAGATAGGCTGTATAAATCAGACTGTTAATTTTTTTTTTAATCATAATAAAACTACATTTCTAAAATAGTTTCATTATTTTAAGTATTTATTGTTTACTGACTTTCCTACTATACTATGGGCAATAAATGTAAGTTACTTGATTTCATTATTTCTGGTTATCATGCAGCTGTACAGCATGTCACCTTTTCAATAACAGACAGAAAAGTATTTTACACCCAAGAAAAACCTCATAATCTTTAGAAAACGCAGGGAAAGTTCTGCAGGAGTGTTGGTTGTCTAAACCAACCCGGTCACCTTTAGTGTGTGTGCTGTTAAAAACACAGCTTCATGCTGAGAGGGAAAGCTGCTCTTATCCTTATGCTGTCTCCAGTTATTCCATAAACCACTGTAACTCTTACTGCAACTAGATTTTTTCAGTCTATGAATGTAATTAGCGAGCATTGCACAAAAGTTGTAGTTTTCAATGCCCTTTGATAAAAAAGAAATGTTAAGGTTCTCTGCTTTTGTTTTCTTAATGTCATCCTTCCTCCCCCCAACCTCCCTAAACTGCTTTTTCTATAAAATCTGGCTTTACAGTTGGTGTCTCTACTCTTTCTCTACTCTTCTGTATGCTCTACCGAGTTTCTCTACTTCTCTTTTAGTATGTTGAAGAAAACTTAGGTGTTATGTCCGTGGGCTTCTTGCTTAGTAGTCCTGATGATGCTGTCATCTGGAGAGGACCAAAAAAAAATGGTAGGTATTGAGCATCTTCAACAACAATTTATGTACTTGAAAGATTTAAAATCATAAGCTTGTTTAATTAATAATGTAAATATCGTATAGGGAGCTACAGGAAAAAGTGAATGAATGGTTATTTATCTTCTTTAGTTGAACATACTCATTTTGTGAAATTAAGAGTGTCAAATGCTGTACTGGTTGTTTGGGTTTTTTTAAAGCCTTGGTAAAATAAACATTCCTGTACTAAAGTTGACAAGTCAGCAGAATCTGTATACCCAGACTATAAAATTTGAAGTAGATCCAAAAATATGAAATATGGGGAGATATTTTTTCCCTCTTCCACATTCTTATCCTTTCTTTTAGGGTTGATCAAACAATTTCTTCGTGACGTGGACTGGGGTGAAATCGACTATTTGATTGTAGATACACCTCCAGGAACATCAGATGAACACTTATCTATTGTGCAGTATCTCAGTGCAGCACATATAGATGGTGCTGTTATAATCACTACCCCTCAGGTATGAGAACTTAATTTCTATTGATAGAAGCATCCTGGCAGTTAAAGCTGATCCTTGGTTGAGAGTCTCTATAAATACACTTCAGAGAAACGACGGTAGAGACTCTACAGGAGCTCATTTTCTTGTTTCATCCCTGTAGCTGGCTGGTTTCTGGGTTAAATGGGTGTCCCAGTGGAGTAGGGGATATGTATGGGTCACGAAACCACTGAGCAGTTCACAATCAAAAGCTGTCGTGACCTGTGTGGTGAAGGGAAATGCAGTACGTCACTTCCTTTGAGATTAGAGTTCACATAATCACAAATCTGTAATTTACTTGCCAACAGTGTAACATTCAGGAGTCACTAAGGAGTGTAGTTTTTAAGCGGCAAGATGAGCACTTTTTGACACTGCATTGAAGTAGCCTGTTGCCTCCACAAGGCATCTTTGTGATGTGCATTTTTAAAAGAAAAATCAGCCCCTGGAGAGCTGCAACTCAAAATACAGAAAATTCAAATGCAGGTTTTAAAGCCTGGTTTGGAACAAGAGATCAGACCAGCAAAAGACACCTGCTATTTCCACAACAGCTGAAAGAATAGAGTGTAAAGGAAGTGAGATGTTGAGGGTGGTATCAGATAGATGGTAAGGGAAGGAGAAAGGAACGGGAGGGAGAACTGAATGAGGTCAGGCATATATGCAAAAAGTCTGAGGGGATGATAAGCTATTTGAAATTTAATTAGAAAAGAGATTAGCAAGTATAAACCTGGTGGTTCTTGTCCTTGCCTGCTCTATTGAGAATGCCAAGAGTCTTTCTGTAAACGTGAAAAAGTTACATTTAAAGATAGGAGATTAATATAGGAGATGAAGCATAAGCATGCTGAATCTTTACTAGAGTCAAAATTTCAAAACAGAACCACATTCAGTAGGCTCAAACTGCTGTACCTGTTCTGTTGCTACTCATAGAATTGCTGCTAAAGCAGGTAACACAGGTTTATGTTCTTCAAAACACAGCGAGAGGAGTAATAATTCATTATGAACTTTCTTTAAAATAGCTCTAAGGATGTAACTTAATGGGTTCAGCATCAAAACATTACAGTCAAAAGAGCAGTGTTTCCCATTGTTTGTAGGAAGTATCGCTTCAGGATGTTCGGAAGGAGATCAACTTCTGCCATAAAGTGAAACTGCCCATCATAGGTGTTGTGGAAAATATGAGTGGCTTTATATGTCCAAAGTGTAAGGTAAGGCTACCTGTATCTTACAGCATTTTTTTATCTTGATGTTGTTTGCATAGAAAACATTGCTCCAAAAATGCCTTGTTCTCAGAATTGCAGTATTTTAACTCTAATTTTCACATTGTTGCAGAATGAATCTCAGATCTTTCCCCCGACTACTGGAGGTGCAGAGAAGATGTGCCAGAACTTAAACATTTCCCTCCTGGGCAAAGTGCCTCTAGATCCTCAGATAGGTAAAGTTACTGTATTGCATTATGTTTAAAACAAGCATATCCTCCTGTACTGATGATATTACTAGAAAGCTCTGACTTGGACACTGATAAATTCGAATATTAAATATTTTGTCTCTTAGGTAAATATAAACTTTTAGATGAAACATTTCTTTTTTTAAATCAAAAGTTACTGCAACTGTGACGTAGCATGGTGTGAAAAGAGGAAAGCACTAGGATAATTTCCTTAGTCTGAACTTCATCTTGATTAAGATTGATTATGTATCTTTTCAGCTGGCTAATCATATTTGAAGTACAACCTGTCTCTGGTGTAATCACCTGGAAGTGCAGACAATAAAATCATAACCACTATGAAGAATAATACCTTGTAGACCTTAAGCATTAAAACGGATGCTTTAACTTCACTGTTACTGGCACCACCCCAATTCCATTGTGGATGGTGAGGCGGTTGGATTCCTTGCCCACTAGCTATTAGCAATTCATACTTGATTTAATGACCTCAAGGAACAGGTCAGTACTTCCAAAACCATGACTGAAGGTCTCTGCTAGTGTTATTCCTTTGTAAAACTGTAAGCTGAAGTTCTAGTTCTGTTAACTGATAGAAGGACTTCTGTAAAGGAATAGATGCAAATTGCTCTTTGGAAGCGTGTAACTGGTGGCAGGATAAAGGGTAACATAAAGAAAAGTTCATCTTTTCCTCTTTCTTTGCTTTCATGTTTTTTCATGTTCTTGAAGGAAAAAGTTGTGACAAAGGCCAATCTTTCTTGTCTGAAGCACCTGATTCTCCAGCTACATCGTCTTACAGGAATATCATTCAAAGTAAGTCTAAAAATCACTGTGCAAATGAATCCTCTCAGTTCTGAGCTCTACTACCGTCCATAAAGGTGCTAAACAGAATTACGTTTTTCTGCCACAAATAGTAAAATCAGTAGATGTGCACAGCAATTATGAAAGTAACATGCAAATACTGCGTTCGCTGCTTCTGGGCATCAGTTACAACAGGCTTTTAAAGTGGTAACGAAATTGTATTTAGTAACTAGTTTCAATGTTGGGCTTCAGTCATTCATTTTCAGAAAAGCTGTGTGTGTTCTTGCTCTCACAGAAAAGTTCTAAGATTCTTCAGCAGGCCTGCTAAGGGGCACTCAGCACTGCTGAGTATGATACAGCTGGCTAATTATTGCCTCCACTTCTAATTGCAATTGCACAAAAACCCCATACAAACACTACCTAAAGAACTGGTGATGTGCAGTTTAAAAACACAAACAGCTGGGAAATTCCTAAAGCTGTTTTCACTGTGATAAAGGCCCAGCCTGTGATGTTTGTACTGATAGGGGACAGAGTGATGCAGTAGTAGTGCAGCTGAAACATTATTTATATTACTTTTTCCCTGTCTTTGCAGGAATTCAGGAATACTGTGATCAACACCATTTTCAAAAAGAAAAGATTATCTAATCTATGAATGGAATAAAAAGGTAGTTCACTTTTAATTACAGAAAAGTAACTTATGCCTTGATTTAATAGAAGGAATGTATTCTTTTTGTATATTGCAAATAAAGTCTTAATATAAATGTTCTTGCCTTAGTTTTTTTCTATAGTTCAGGATTCTCATAGTTCACAGGTGGTCTCAAAGATTGCTAGAACATTATAAAACTGAGCCTTCCTCTGTGTTCCACAGGCGTGGTCTGCATCTGCTGTCACAGTACGAGCATACTAGACTAACATATTTTAACTATTTATACCTAACTGGCTGCTTCACACAAGTACTATGTGAACACGCTACATGATTTCCATTCTTGTACTCAACCCTAAGACTGAACACTAAAAAAATAAACGTTTGGTATCTTTAAGAGACCCTTTGTGATTGTAATTCCTCTTTTTATTGAGGAATCAAAGCTTTGAAAAATCAGTATTGTGTACAAGAGGGAAAGGCAGTTTGACTTTGTTTATTGTAGTTCAAAAATTAAATACATGAGCAGCATCTTTTGATTACATTCTGATTCTTGGCTAAGATAATCCAGCGGTTTCAGAGTAGCTGACAGTTTCCTTTGTGAAGAAGTGTGCTCTGTATAAACCGTAAGCATTGGTTTTGTGCCTGTACAATTTGCTTTTTGATTAAACTTTTAAGTAAGTAACAGAGGCTCTAAACCTTTTGGAATCTAAAGACTCGAACACAAATGACAAAATCCTTATTACTTCGTGCAGGTGTAATTCTAGAAGAGTTTTACTTAAATATCTTCATATGAAGAACAGCTTTCATACATGATTATTTTTACTTCTCATCCTTCTAGTTCTTCCTTATTTGATTACCTAGTGCTCGTCTTCCCATGTTCTTCAGTGCGGTCTTCTGAAATTCTCCTTGTCTGCCCTGTAGAATGAACACAGGAGGTGTAGGTGTTAGCATAACCTAGTATGTAGGAGTCTTTTCTAAAAAGCAGGGAAGAGCCTGGTGGAAGCCCAAGGCTTGAAGATAGCTCTCCCAGCTCTGCCTAGGCAGAGGCATTCTAATACCTCAGAAGGCATCCCTCTGAGGATTTAACACAGAGGACCTTCTTCATGGGGCTTGGAAGCAGCTCAGCTTCTGAACACAGAGCAAAGTGACATGGGGTATGGCCCCAATGCGCAAGTGCCACAGGAGAGGCTTACTGGAGAATCAAGACAGCCCTGCCAGGAGTTATTTTAGGAGCTAAGAGCTGGAAGAGTCGCGACAAGCAGCGTAAGGCAGGTCAGTTTGTGATATTCATGGGCTGTAGCTGCCAGACCAACTCAGTACTTACTGTTGGGAACGTCTGCTGTAACAAAAAACCTTGACATTACTCTGTTGATGCTTTTTTGTCCCCCTAACTTGCAGTGGATGTAGCCGTATAAATTAGCAGTCTGAAGGGAGATCCCAGCTATCACAAGAGCCTGTGGACAAACAGAAGTTCAGCTGGAACAAATACACTGCTATACACAGACTGTGTGTGTAGAATATATATACACACGTGTATGTACATGCTCTGAGGGGGATACTCCTTCTAATAAGAAAAGATCTTCAAAGAGATCCAGTCATGTTAAATATAAACACAGTAATTACTTTCTACAAAATGTCACTCTCTCTATCAAAACACCAATACAAATTCTTTTTTGTTGTTATGTATCTTGAAAGACTTCATTACGTTCCTAAAAGCACTTATTCAAAAAAGGACCTGTTCAACTGATTCCACAATCATTTTGCTTTTTTTAAGCCTGATTTGTATCTAAAACTTATACATAGCAAACATGCAGGCTTGTTTAGCTGACAAATGCCTTCTTGTATACAAATACAGTCCTGTAACTCAGAGATTTACAAAGAGCGTGGATAGGTATGAATCTGTATCTGCATTAACAGGCAGTGAAAACAATTCGATCCTTTTGTGGTACTACAGGCTTAGCAGCAGGCAGAACCCATCTGACTGACTAATGAAATAACTTACAAAAATGTTTTGCTTAGCCTCAGGAACTGTGTTCTGGAAGCTATCATATTTTCATTTGTGTAACTTGCCTTTTACAAGCACCTGAGCAGCTTGCCTCCTGTGCTAGTTAGGGTTCCTTCTCCAACCAGCTCTTGGATTAGCAAACAATCTCTGGTTTTCAAACATAAAGGTGGAGCCGTGGACAAAGACTGCTGGTTAAATTTTTAACTATTGCTTGTTTAGCGATGCCATTTTGGGCACTACAGAGCAGTTAATGATTTGCATTTGATTCATACACAGAGTTGAATTTCCTGATCATTTAATAATAAAATGTAATTGTGGCTGTTACTGGTTATGTAGCTGCACATGTTCAAAACACTTTTTTCAAACTGAATTAAGAAATTGTACTTTGCGTGGCTAGGAACTTGACAAAATGAATTCTATAGCGATCATCCAAGTGCTTAATATTTAGAGGAGAAAACATGAAGATTTCATAGACAAAAATATCTTAATGCAATACATAGGGTACATTTCCTCTCTCATGTAGAAAAAAAATATATTTGTACAGTAGATAACTTATAAATACAGTAATTATAAAATACATACTTCAGCTCAATTTATCAAGGTTTTAAGCACTGTGATACTGGTCCTTTCAAAGGAAATGGTACCAGAGAGCTAAAATCCTTTTAAGAACAAGTGACATTCAAGTGCCAAGGAGATATGAAAACCAGTATCAGTGCATTTTTTGTCCTCTCATATAAGTTTCCTTTGACTGAAATAAGTTGGGGAAAAGTAAGTTGTTACAGTTAAAAAGAAGTCTGTAATTTTGCCAGCCACTTACAGTTCTCAAGTTAAATGAAGGAGTTGTCATCTGATAACCCACAAGTGGGGCTAAAAATTACTAATCCATTCCAGAGTGCAGGGCTCAACTGCAGAAAACTCCTCAGATTTGTTGAAGCCAGTAGTGGAATTTTTGTACTGTTGGCAGATTTGGTTCAAAGACTGTTGCAAAACTATCAGATCTAGTAGAGGGTTTTCCCTCTACTAACATCGTCTGCCAGCTGTAGGCCTTTCGGTGCCCCAGACTTACCAGCCATTTCAGCTTCAAGGAGAACAAGGTGCTGAAGAAAAACACCGTCCAAATAACTGGACAGATAATGAGACCAAGCCAAAAGATTCGAGCTTCAGCTTCAGTTGAGGCAGCTGTTGTAGGTACCTAGAAGGAAAATTATTGAAACTACTAGTCACAGAGACAAAATATACAATAAATAGCAGATCAGCAGAGGAAGAAGAATGGACAAAATTACTTCTTTACCCAAATTTCACTTCTATGCATGGAGGGAAGATTGAGTGAGAACAGAAGTGGTTTTCTGCCTGCTGCCCTACTGTACATGACAGCATTTTCTTTTCAAAATGCTCTAGTCTCTTCACAGTTAAATTAGATAGTTATTCCTTTTGTCAATGATAGCTCCCACTAACACTACAGATCAGTAGTATTTTAAAGTCAAAGTTCTGTTATACTGACAATTGCTTTTAAACTTCAGAAATACTAAGTTAACTTTGAAATCAGACTAAAACTTTACCAAAGCCTTAGAGAAGTGTGAAACAGAAGACAGTATTACAAGCAGTGAGTGCTTCACTGTCTGTAGTGTAGATTCGTGACATGTGCCCTGTTCACAAATCAAAACTATGAGGGAAACAATCAGTCCAGTGTCAGAAAAGCTATAGTATCTAATGTGGAAATTGCAAGGAGCTGTTGCAAGTGCTAACAAGCAAACTTTAAAGATTCCCCATAGGATTTATCAGTTCGTTACAGTTCAGACAGGATTTATCAGTTCGTTACAGTTCACACAACAGAATTCTCATAATGGTGACCATTTCCATACATTTTCCTAAAAAACATGCAGTATCTTAGCTTCATTTAAATCTTCTGTGAAGCTTAGTTTTCTATTACGTAAACTAATACTTCAGTTTTGCCTATGAAGTCTACTGACACTCCAAAAACCAAGAACTGTGGCTTTGAAAATGCCTCTTCTGTAATACTAGTGTTGGACACTACAGCAGCTGCTGGCATCTTTCTAAAGAGGCATTGTTATTCACAGTGCTCTACTGGCGTTCTTCAGGGAGAGCAAAAATGCTCTGGTTGCAGATTTCTCAGGTCAGCACATCTGTCTTTATCTACACAGAAAGGTTCATTGTTGACTCCCAACACTTAAGAGAAACTAAAGAAAGAGAATTGTTCACAAGGTTCTGATCTTTCCTAGGAGACCAGAATTCAAAATCTCACTCCACACCGCAGACCACTCAACCACCACTAGTGCTAGCTTCTGAAATACAAGCTTTGCAAGTGGAAAAGAAAACTGTGGACTCTTCCACTCTGAAAATTGAAAAGCTTTTTAGTTAATTTCAGTATCTTGAATTCTCCATGTAAAAATAACTCATCCATCCATCTGTCCATCATGAGGCAGACAATGGCATCCAACTTGTAAATGCAGTTAAGTTACTCTATCTTGCCTAAGAAAGCCCTGCAAGATGCAATAATTACAAGGTGTCTTTAATTTTTTCATGTACCTTCTAAACCAGTGATGTTGCAGAGGTCCAGAAAATAATGTTCTATGCCTTCGTAGTTACAGAAAAAGACAGATGTTCTGAGACAGTAAAGGGGTTTAATCACCTGTATCCCAAATTACTGGCAAATTACCCCACAGTGATGTTGCATTAGCACTATTTAGGAGAAAATAAAGTCAATGCACCTGAGAACACTGCACCTAAAAGACCTAGGTATTGATGAGCAAGATTACAAAAGGCTGCAGGTATCCCAAAGAAAGGAGAGGGGAGCTGTGATGTTTGGAATGTAACAATTACTTTTCTGCCAGCAACCCTCCAGCAGAAGACAGGATTTCAAGAACAAACCTCTGTTGCATCAGCAGCGTACCAGGAATTAGCTGCCTACTGATGGTGAGTGACTTGGAGTATTTCTAAGCAGATTCACCCATAAAGGAAAAGATCTTAAAAAGTTGCCAGAGGACTGGCAAAGGAGGCAGGGAATGCCTGACTCTGGAAAGTAAGAGAATCGCATGTATTCCAGGACCTTACCATGACAAAGTATTTCTCATGGATAAGCCATGACAAAAATACAATCCAGTCTAACTAGATGTTCCTTCTTACGGTACTATAATTTTCATATTAATCAAGCTACCATTTGTCAGAATTTTTGGAAGGCTTTAGCTCGTACAGATGAGTCAATCTTGTACTTCTAGGCTAGACTTAACAACTGTAACAGGTGAACGAGGCTTGCGCCTTTTACAGTAATTTTGAGGTCAGGAGGTCGTTTTATGGATGCCATTTTTAAGTGCTAAGAAAGCTCTTGTTTACTGTCTCGATGAACTAAGAAACTCTGAAAGTCTTCTAGTTTCTTTGCTTCCCTGCAGGCTCGTTCGGTTTCACTTAGCGTACAGGAAGGTGAACACCGCAGGGGGTGCGGGCTGCAGAGGGCACTCCAGACCCGCACGCTGCGGGGGCTCAGGGCTCAGGGCCGGGCTGTGTGCGCCTGGGCTGGCCGCAGAGGAGTCTCCGTGTGAGCGGCACCTCGAGTGCCGCTCTGCCAGGCTCCGGCCTGAATGGGGCTGTGGGGAGAGTGTTGGCGAGTGAAAGCACAAACCTGCCGAGGTAACTCTGGCAGCGATGCAAAGTGCCGTTTTACAGCTTTTTGCTCGGGGTGTTCAGGGGAGCACTAGCAGTGTCATCATGCTCTGTGATCCAGGCTCTATTCCCCACCAGATTCCATGAGCAGGAATAAAACATTCTTTTTAAAATACTGAATTGGAACTAATTCGGCATTGCTTTCAACAGACATCTTCCCTGAAGAGGATTCTGCGTTGGGATTGACTATGGGAAGGTGTGTTTATTACAAAATGCTCTCACTAGAAAATAAAATAGAACTACCAGAAGCGTTTCATACCACTAGTACCATGCTATGAATATTTATTCTGCTGATGCACATGGTGACAACCACGTTACGAGACCAGTTTTGTTCTGAATGCTTCCAGGATGTGACAATCCGGTATGACTGCAACTGAATATTTATATTATCTTCTATAGAAGCTGGATAAAAAGTAACTATTACAAAGGTGATCTATTTGTTACTTTATTTGACTTAGCATCAGCTTCACAAGTTTTCCTATGGGTTCTGTTTGTCCCGTGCCTACTTTGATTAATATACGTACCCTTTTTGCTTCAAACACCCAGTGGCTTTTTCCATCTTCATCAATCTGGTTCCACCAACGCAAACCAACCAAGAGTCTTCCTGTCACATTCTAGTGACAGAAACAATTATTTGCATTAATCAGTTGCCTAATTCACTTGTCAGACTAACATAAAAAAAATCAAAAGACGAGCATGTCTGAAAATCATATTATTTTATCAAATACTAAAATTAATTCTAAAAGCTGTGCCAGCTTGAGCATAACAGTCATTATGGATGGATGAGTTACCACAAATTTAGAGAGCTGTTCTCCTCTTCTAATATGATAATTAGCACAATAACATTGATTTAGGCAATAAATTATAGGATGTATCTTTTCTAAGTCAGTGGGAGAAGCCACCAATAAACAAATTTCTTCAGTAAGAGAGAAGTGCAAACAAAAACACGCTGAAAAAATGGAAGATTAATTATAAACTAGTAAGCTGCATAGAATCAGGCAAACAAATTAAGAAACTATTTCTGCACCTGGATGAATCCTGGGAGTTTTCAGCACACTGGAGATGCATCCATGTTTCACTGCTACAAAACAAAAGCCTTGTTCCACGTGTGGAGCCCCTGGGATTCTGGGCTGGCCTGACCCACCTGCCTGCACCGGTGCCGTAGCTGGGCTCCCAGGAGCCTCCTGCAGCTCCTGCCTGCTGGGTCTGGGCACAGTATGGCAGCTCTGGGCATCCTTTGGCCATTACTGAAAGCCAGTGCTACTTCATTGATTTTTTTAGAGGGGAAAGCATACAAACAAATCTACCTACGGCAAGGCAATTTTCTCATCATATTAGTAGCTCCCATCAGCCATAGAGAACATGGTGATAAAAAGTAAGAGTAACTAAGATATGTAAATGTCTTAATTAAAATGGGCTAGACATTTAATAAATCAACAGATCACAAAGGGTTTGTCACTTTTGTCAGTATACACATTTTCTTTGAATGGAACACAAAATACTTTCAAAGGTAATTACTATTCAGGGTCATCTTACCTTAACTGACCAAAAGTCAAAGGATAGAAGAAGGAGAATAGTGACAAAACAGGCAACAAAGCTGTTGCTGAACCAGTCACAGAACAAGTAGGTAATAATAGCACTCACTCGGAAAAACAGGTGGAAAAAGGTGGCCAGGGGGTGCCTAGAAAAAAACCACACAGAGCACTGAGGAAGTTATATGGGACAAGAAGGAATGTTACAGTGTTTGCTAACAATGCAGTATAACACAACCATTTCTAGTCTATGATGGTATTTGGTTTGCAGCTGCTATTATCTCAGATGTTGATGTATATCTTCATTATCAAAGCAAGAGTATTTCCAATAGCCAACCTCCAATCTAAAGCTAAAATATGGAATGTGTTATTGAAATCAAAACTTTCTCAAAGATAGAACAAAATCCAGAGTCTTTCCCAGTTTCTTTGGTACTGCATGAAGGAATTTAGTGGTTGTGTTCAACGCTGTACCCTAAAATCCTCATTGTTTCATGAAATAAATCAGCATTGCAAGGCACAAAAGAATTGAGACAGATCTTATGCCTTTCAGAACTGTTTTGAAAACAAGAACAGGAACTCTGAACCAGAAAAAAAAAAAAGCTGTTGGGTGTAAGACAAAATGAACCTTCATATGTAATGTCTGAAACCAAACACTTCCTTTTACAGAGGGCGTACGATTTGGGAATCTAACAGTTGTTATGAATGAATGTTCATGAATTTCATTAGATATTTGTGCTTTGCTCATTAAACGAAATTTTGTCTGTAACAAAATAAAGGGGAATTTCAGTGGAAGAAGTAACTATATGGCATGGAATATTGGCCTGTACAGTGAGACGGGGGTTTAGAGAATGCTGTAATGAGCACAGGACAATTTTCAGGGTAATATGCCAAAAACCTATTCTGTCGAGTTGTGTTTGTGTTAATTGGTTTGAAGTGACAATTAACTAGAGGCTATTGCATTTAAGTAACTTCTTCCCTTGAAGCTGAGTAAATAAAACTTGTTTTCTGAATAAGAAATTTTTTTTAAGTCAGCGATTGGCTCATTAAGCTCCTCTACCTCTGTAAACAACCAACAGTGGTATGGCCTAGGTCGTAATTAACTATTGAACTACTAAATGTGTTATTCCAGTCTTGTGTATAGTAAAATGTTACATATATACACAATTATAACTGTTCATTATAAAGTTAAATTATAATTATATTTAAATTATAATAGTTATTATATTTCTGCATTTACTGTAATATTATTATTCTATAGCTGTTTAACTGTTCTAGTAATTGTCTTTTCTATAGTGGCAATATTGTGCTCGTAGTACTGCACACACATGACTGGAGATGCAAGAATGATGCACAGCTGTAGTTTATATTTACTCCTGATCATGCCCATGCTAACCTCAAACTTTCCAAAAACTTCTTCTGACTTAAAACTAAACATGTGACATTTTAAGTGAAAGGAGCTTTTTCTGCCATAAGCAGACAGGTGGGTGGGTGGGTGGAACAGAGGGAATATCTGAACTATCAAAAACAGATACTGTCTTGCTACTTCAAGTCTTAATTTCATTCAAGAAGATGCCAGAGTTTATTACATAAGTGGTATCTTGTGTCAATACAAGCTATTCATAGATCACAACCCTAAAGTGCATCAGGGGGGACTGAGCTTTTATAACTGTATCAGTGCTTCAAATGTGAAAGTAACTTTGGAGAAGTAGTGTTTCATTTTGGAAGTCAGATGATGAATTACTGTTTGGATGCTGAACCTCTTCCAATATCAGGCTCTGAAGGGTGTTTACTAAAAAAACAGTACATGAGCAAGAGGCTCACATTTATTACAGTGCTAAACACTTTGCTGAGACTTCAGAATATCAGTCATCTCACACGGATATGGCTAGCCAAGCCAAAGACACACACTTGCAGGTCCTAGGGAAGGAATATGGAGAGATATCAAAACTTGTTCCTCATTCTTTGGACAACTCTCTCAATCTCAGAAAATGTCCACCTATTTATGCTTTAAAAAAAAAAATAATCCCAAAACTAATGGAATCCAGTAAATAAACTGTTCACTTTCTTACTTAACAAAACAAATGTGTTTTCTTAATTCACGGCCATCAGATGAAACTTAGAGCTCTTATCAGATACAAACAGGATTTTTAATAAGCAGATAATCCAAAATAGACAAAACTGTCTTTTAAAACCTGAAGCTAAACCATCTGCATCCTTTTTGAAACAAAACACTTTACAGCTTTTCTTAAGTGAATGCATTTATATTGAATTCAATTGTACTTTATAATTTTTTTTAAAAAGTTAATTTTTCAGAAATATGCTGGCTTTAAGAAATCTTTGTATAAGATAACATGATTTCTTTTACTAATACAAGACAGCATAGGCTTTAAAACATGATCATTTTTCTTTCTTTTTTTTACTGCATTCAAATCCAATAAAGGATAAAGGTAACTGAAACTCTGGACTGCCTCTGCTTGGCATCCATTTGCTTCTGAAAGCACAGCAACCCACCTGCATGGACTTTTAATTATCCTGTTGCATCTAAACATCCATATCGTGTAGAACTGGAGCCTTGAGGCTAAATGATTACCGTTTATTTTGTTACAATAACTTCCGTTCAGTTTGCAAGCATGATGCCTATTAGGACAGGAATGCGCTGTTATGAATTTAATTGCATCCCATGTTAAGGAATCAAACTGCGTCAGCCCTAAGGTATGCCCCTAAACCACAGGAGAGTCATTCCCAGTGCCTGTTCAGAAGTGCCGCAGCAGCACTCTACATGCTGCTCTTTTATCAAATGTATCCAAGCAAATTCTGAACAAGCAGTTTCTCTGGCTTGATCATCTTGTGTTACCTGACTGATTTAAAAAGAAGCAATCACATGTTCCTAACAGTTCCAGATCAAATGTTCTGATACTGCAAGGAACTGTAAAGATGGTGTCGATTATCTTTTTTGTAACCTTCTTATGGAATTAGCCTCTAACTAAATCACTATCCACATACATTTTGCTTTTAAGGAGCACTTGGATGTACCTTGGAGAACTTGTCATAGCTTATGCAAATTCTAACCAAGTTCAAGATACATTAAATTGGGATAAAGTTAAAGACAAATTATTGGAATATGTTGTTATGCCCTCTAATAAGACAACAAAATTTTGCAGCACATGGGTGTGTTCCAGGCTTGTTTGCACAGGATTCTTCAGAAATATAAAAACAAACTTCTGTGTGACCAACGTAAGGAGTTTCATTTCTGTATTCTATACCAGAAGACTTTTCAGTATGAGATTATCTTTTAGTATTGTCACAATAAGGGCAAGAAATGAGAGCAGTCTCTAATGAAGTAAGTGTCTACACAACGTGGATCAATAATATGGTTTACTGATACTTTGCCTGTCTATAGTATTCGGTACCATGAACCAGTAAGAACAGATATCTAGAGTGAAGTGGTGCTGTGGACCTCCTAAAAACATTTCAGGGTCGTTTCACATCACGCTAACTCTAGTCTGGTCCCATAGACTGAATCTGTGGCTCACACGCTCAAGACACACTCCTAAGCTGTATTTCCCAGTTTAGCTTAATCTTTTAGGCTATGTTCTCCAAGACTAAAATATACCAAATGTATTAAAATGTACCAAAATATAAAACTTCATTTAGAATGTGTGCTGCTGCTAAAGCACAGAAACAAAGCAACTCTGGGCACATTAATCTTGTGTCATGGCTAACTCATCATGTAGTTGCAAAGTCCAATGCACTGGAAGGGCAGAAATGCTTCAACAGACACTAGCAAAACAGAGTAATTGTACTGTAAAGCTATGTGATTGCTTGTTTGCACACCTCACATAACATCTGCGTTAGGCTTAACATTTCTTAGTTTTCTTTGTTTATGCCTACAAGAAATATTAACATTGTAATGGACCACAGTAAACTGGGGCAAGGTGGAAGGCAAGAAAGCAATATAAATCAAAGCTGATTATATACATTATTGATGAATGCATGCTTATGTATAATTCCTTTTGATGTAAAACTCTTCCCTTGACAGTCTTTGACTGGAGATTCTTCAAAATCCACTGATAGAACAACAGCTTGGTTGCCTGCGACCTTGGTGTGGACAGAGCTGCAGAGTGACCCCTCTGGAAGGGTTGACTGCTTACCCTGACAGGAGAGATGGATCGATGGGCTGGGTTTTCTTAGGCACCAGCCACAAGGATAAGATAGACAATATTCCATGTAACATCACATCCCGTGGTAGGAAAATATGACCTAAAAAACCGTTTTATTGCAAATAACTTGCTGTTTCCCTTATGTGCAATGCAATGGCAGAGGACTCTGCACACCTTGTTTTGCTGAAGATGACAGCTCTCCCCACTTCCCCAGCACTAACAAAAATACCGTTTGGTCGGGTTTGCTGTGAGGGTTTTTTAATTATTTTTTGTAATTATTTTATGTTGGCTTCGGGTGTGTAAAATGTCTGTTTCCAATGGCTGAGGCCTGAGCCTGCCGGGCTGGCAGCAGCTCCCGCCCGGGCAGCCCGTCCCAGCGCCTCACCCCGTCCCTGTAACACCGGGAACGACGGGTGCAGCGCAGCTCCTGGAATTTGGGCGCCTCAGCCCAGCTGGGGCAGCACGGGCTGCCCAGGCCCCGTTACCTCAGGCTCCGGGGCCGGGCCCGCTCCGCTCCCCGCGCCGTTACCTGATCTTTGCTTTCCGCAGCGCCAGCTCCTCCTCGCTCCCGAAG